TTGGGTAGGTCGTAGAAAAAGGGGGGTCCAGGTGATGTGTATTTTTTTGGTGAATCCCTTTGGCTCTGCTCAGCAGAACGGTGACTGACGTTGTCCCTTCCTCTTCTAGCAGGGAAGGAAGAGAGGAGAGGGGGTTAAACGCTGTCCAAGGGGGCAGTGAAAGGGAAAGGGGGGGCCTGGGGAAGAGACTTTTCATCGCACCACGCTGGGGAAGAAAAAAATTCACCTCCTTAAAAGCTCTGACCCAGGCAGCAGCAAAACTCCTGGAGCTGGGCACCCCCAGGGAGGAGCCAGCAGGGCCACCCTGGGCTCCCCTGGAGCAGGGTTTCTACTTCTCCTTGATGCCAGGAGCAGTTTCCTGGTGTGAGGGGACACCCCCTGCCCTGCCCTGCCCTGCCCTGCCCTGCCCTGGCTCCTTTATCTTTTTTGTTTTCTTGCTTTTCCATTAATGTTCAGAGACCAGGGAGGAGCTGGAGGCTCCCTGAAAAACCAAGATCCCCTGAAAAAACAACCCAAGGTTCCCAGAAAAACGAAGCTGGTGGATGGGAAGAAATTGCCCCCGCTGCTCAGGCTGGTGGGCAAATGGGGAGTGGAAGAATTTGGGTTATAAACCCCAATTAATTTGTATTGGTGATGAGCTACGGGCCCGGGTGGAGCCGTGTGTGGGGTGTGGTGCCCGTGGGTCTCACTCGGGGTGTTCCCACCAGGTGAGGCAACAGGCACCCTGAGATAAAAGGGTTTCATCTGGCTCAGGGGCAGGATTCGGGCTCTGGTCTGCTGGGATTTATCACCCTGCCCCCGGGAGAGGGTGGGAAGTGGTTGGACAAAACTGGAGAGACCTCCTGGTGGCCTTTCAGTGCTTCAAAGGGGCTGTCAGAAAGCTGGGGAAAGTTTTGAGCAGGGTCTGTTGGGACAGGACAAGGGGGGATGGTTTGGAACTAAAAGAGGGAGATTTAGACTGGAGAGAAGGAGGAAATTGTTGCTGCTGAGGGTGGTGAGCCCCTGGCCCAGGCTGCCCAGAGAGGTGGTCGCTGCCCCATCCCTGGAACCATCCCAGGGGAGGTTGGCCGGGGCTCTGAGCACCCTGCTCTAGCTGGGGATGTCCCTGCTCAGGGCAGGGGGTTGGACTCGATGCCTTTCAAGGTCCTTCCCACCCAAACCCCTCCATGACTCCATGATTCTATGAAAACAGGTTCTAGATAGTACCCAGGCTGAGCCCACCCGGCTTTGGGAGGCTCTGGGGCAGGGAACCAAACCCCAGCAGAGCTCTGCACGGGGACGCTGGGTGGGACCCCCAACCTCACTGGTCCCACCACATCCTCCCCACCCTGCTCTGCAGCTGGGAGGTTTCCAGGCTGTGTTTGATGGTGGGTCTGAGAGGACCCATGCCCTGTTAAGATTTAGAATCATCAAATCTGGGAATCATTTGGGTTGGAAAAGACCTTTCAGCTCATGGAGTCCAACCATCCCCCAGCCCTGCCAGGTCCCCACTGCCCCGTCCCGTGTCACGGTTTAGTGCCCGCGGCCACGGGTGGAGCTGACTCTGCTGCACCCCCCCACCCCCTCCCCTTTCCCCCAGCCCTTTTGTTTTTGTGGTTGAACACCCGTTTCTCAGCTACCTGCCACCCAGGTGCTCAGAAGAGGCCACAGTCCTTGAGGTTCTCTTTGATGATGACATCCGTGACGGCGTCAAAGACGAACTTGACGTTCTGTGTGTCTGTGGCACAGGTCATGTGGCTGTAGATCTCCTTCACGTCCTTCCTCATGTTGAGATCCAGGAACTGATTCTTGATGTAGTTCCCGGCGTCCTCGAACGTGTTGGGACCTGGGGAGGGAGGAAACGATGCTGGTGCTGAGCTGCCCCCGTGGGAGACCGTTGTCAGAGCAGGGCGAGGGCCTGGGGGTGCTCGAGGCTTGTTTTGGAGCGCA